ACAATGGAACAATAGGAGGATCGAAATGCACCAATCACAGCCGACCTTTGTGATATAAATGATACCGTGCTATAAGTCGACCTTATCGCCTGAAGAAGACTAGCAGTAAGCAGTCGAAACGTCGCGATCTACAATATTAATATTGAGGGTGTTCCCGGAAAAACCCAGACAAACTCGGATCCTTGGTCAAATTGGAATTTTAAAATGTCGGTTTTCATAAAGAGAGCAACATAGGAGTTCTCGGAAGAAAACATGAACGAGAAGAAGAGGTTGAAGAGAAGAACCAACAACAAACTCAACCCGATCATGAGGCAGAGTTTGGGATGCCAGCCAAGACAAGTGGATGTTAGGATACACAAAGTATGAGAGTATAAAACGCGATTTAAAGTCTATCAATGAAAATGTAAGGACATTTTCGAACTCACCCTCCGCTTGCGTTGAACGAACCATCATTGAAATCGATGACACAAAAATAAGGAGGGCAAGAACATTCATTTTTACTCCGCAACGAACGTCCTCAGTTCTCAAGTCTTATGGAAAGTATTCAGCCAGCACCAGCTGGCGATGTGAAGTCGAAATAACATCTCATTACAAGCCAACACTGTAATAAGAAATGACGGGTTTTGTCTTTGTCATTCAGAGCTATTTTTGCTCATGTCAGTTTGACTCCTCCTACTTTACGTACTTATCATGTAAACAAAATGTTTCTATGGACGTGTTTCTCAACTAAGCTTACAGGAAGAAATTCCTTCTTAGGCCTGTTTATTTTATTTTATTTTATTTTTTTCTTGCCCTTCTTTATGAGTGAATGTTTTATTCCGATGGAAGATACATTCCAAGCTCATGTTTTTAACAATCACTCAGTTAAAAACCTTCAATTTCTTGAATGTCCTTGGCATTTACCTCGTTCTCTACCTTTATTTTTGCACTTTATTGTAAATTTAAACATTAATTTCGTTGTTTTCCTGCTAATATATTGTTTTCTAGTTCAATTTGACTCGTGAATACTTAAACTGAATATTGAATTTATGTTAGGACGTTATTGCAACTTCGAGCTAAGCTTATAATTAATTCAATTTAAAAAGTAACAATAGTGATACGAATTTTTTTGTGAAAGGGAGAATGTTGAACATTATACAGTGGAACCTCGATTTAACGAACTTTATTTAACGAAGTCCTCGATATCACGAACATAATTCGGCAGCCCAAACGTAAAATCTACCTCGATATAACGAACTACAATGTTTCCTTGTTTACATAGACAATTTAATGTATAACCTCTGTGTTGCGACATTTTTAAATCAGTACACTGAAAGTGTCGTTCTTTTGTTAACAAAAGCTGCGCGTCTGCTCAAAAGTGAAAGTAATTGATACTGAAAGCCACCATGCTTAATGAATTGCATCTCAAAACGCGGCACTTCTGGGTGACGAAAATTGCATTGAATTACGTGACAGAAGTCACCTGTGTTACAAATCAATCATTTTCCCCTCAAATTCGTTATATCGAGGTTTTCGATATAACGAACCCTCGATTTAACGAACAAATTTGGCCGGTTATTCTGCAGGCCTCCATGCACATAAGATGGTTAGAAGTTAGTTGAATGCCATTCACGAAATGCTTCATCATGCTTCATCAGCTTTCTACATTTTATATGTCGTGGAAAGTGATAAGATAGTGCATCGAGCCAAGACCAGTAGGAAAAGTGAGGTCAAAATAACAGCTCATTACAAGTCAACACTGTTTAATAAGAGATGGCGTGTTTTGTCTCTGTCATTCAGAGCTATTTCCGCTCATGGCAGTTTGACTCCTCCTGCTCTAGCTATTAAGACTTCCTGTTTAAATTAGGAGTGGCGAATGGTCCTTCAAAAACCATGGGTCTCGCAAAATTTTCGCCGAATTTCACGGGTCTCGGAGTCTCGTTTTCTAGCGGTTACGTGCGTCTCGCAGTCTCGATTTTTCTCACAAAGCTGTCTCACAGTCTCATTTTTTTCAAGGCTAAAAAAGTCGCGAAGTACCGATTTGTTTATTTTTTTTTTTAGTAAAGTTAAATGACATCACAACATCTTAAAACCTGAACGTCTTGAGTTCGCATTCAAAACGCTTTAAAGTCTCGGTCTCGCAATTGAAGAAATCAAAATGTCTCGGGCTCGCAAAGAAAAACGCTAATCTCGTCGTCTCGCAGTCTCACATTTACCGGTACGTTAAGGCCTGGATGAAACTTAAAAAATAGGCAAAAATGCAATAAAAAATATTTAAAATCACAGAAACCGTGTATATGAGTCTTTATGCGCTAGATTGCTTTGAACAATTTTTTTCCTAATTTTCCCAACACTAACTGTCAGCACACAAGTGTCACGTGACACTTTAATGTACATTTTCCCGCCAATATTATTTGTTGTCCTTGCAGGAGTACTTTTCGCTTGCCTTAAAACGCCAAACTCGCCAAAACGATAGTTCTTGAGACGAAGAATCTGAAATGTACTGGCAAGGATGACTTAACTTTCTGTTCAATGTCCTACAGTGAATTTAGGCACTTCTGGATAGATTGTGGCAAATGTCGAACTAACTGATTCTTTTCTTCTTCACCAATGAGGCCTTTCCAGTAAACAACATGTTTACTGGGGTTCTACAAAAATGTTCTGGGTCAAACACGCGGCTAAAGTGTGTAAAAACTGCTCCTGCAGTTGAATTCGCGAACTCGACTACGATTTTATTTCCGAGCGCCATTTTGTTTGTGAACCTACGGGTTTTAGAAACAGCGGATGTCACTGTTGCTATGACATCTCGGAAGGTAGGCAACATGGCGGACGATATTACTATGTTTTGTTCTGGAGAGAAATGCCACTTCCCGCGACGAAATCATCGCTTGAAAAGTAGAAATGTTTCGCAGAAAAGGGTCTATGCTGAACGACTTCTAGGCTTTGCGATCTTATAACATAATTCGATGCGGTAACGTGAGGAACGAAGAGCATTTGTGGCTGTTAAAGCAGACAGTAAGGTTGTTAAACTACTAATGTGAAATTTAATTTTGCCCTCAAAGCCTGTTTTGGTTAAATGATATTCCATTAAAATCTTAAAATATTTGAAAGATGATCTGTTCTTAATTTATGTGGGAATATAATGTACCGCTCAGTTAAAATTGCGCCAACTTCAACCACACTAGTATTTCTTTCGAAGTGGCTCAGTTCGCAAGCACGGTTCGCTCTTCAAAGTAAAAATGGTTGCTACCCTTATTTGCCCGACGAGTTGCGGCTTTGCTCGGACGGCTGCTCTAGAAATAGTGAAGGAAACAACTCAAACGTTTCGCCGGGAAAACGGAAAGGGAACAGCAAAATTCAGAGCGCGCTCAATGCTAGAGTGTTACAAACGGTTCAATGAAATATTCAAGGAGAGATCTGAGGAGTTTGATATTGATTTTCTGAAATTTCAAAAGAAAATACCAGCTCTCCGAGATATGTTTAGCCGCTGTAATCCAAGAAGAAAGGACGAGAAGGAAAAGTATCTTGAAACATTTAGCATAAAAAACTGGAAGGAAATGGCGCGTGCGGAAAAAACGAGCATTCGTTTTCAAACTGCCAAGGGTGCTATCATCGCTAAGCTGAGATTCAAGTATGGAACGCCAGAACTGTCTTATGATACTTTTTTTTATTATATTGGGTGGTTATGTCATTATATTGAGTAGTTATGTTATTATATTCGGTGATTA